TTTTTCATTATTCGCATGCAGTTTATTTTGACAGATGGGATTATTTCACAATAACAAATCGCCTGTTGTTTTTGTATTGTTGTATTTGTTGTAGTGACGAGGCTACCTTATTAAGTGTACAGTGGGCGGAGGCAAAAAAAAAATCAACAAAAGAAAATGTATAATGAACCACGAGAGATTTAAAAGAGGGACAAATATATAAAGATATATTTCCATCTCTTTTCACCTTATACTTAATTTTTTTCGAATGTAAACAAGAAAGAGTGTCGGCTATGCCGAATCTTATATACCCACCATCAAATCGTATGCCCTATATTTGTAACAGGGCTTAAGTCAATTATGGACGTGCTCTTTCGAATTAACAAAATATTAATTTTAAAAAACAAAATATTTTTTCCAACTTTTAAACCGTATCGTAAAATTTTTTAGATAGATTTGGAGTCGTATAATACTTATTCGTTTTGAATTTCATTGTAATTATCTGAAGGGGACCTTATATGGGTGCAAGGACAACTATAAAACAATACTCATAAAATTTTGAACATAGATTTTGTTTTGTTGGCAAGGGTCAGTTATAGATACGGCGACAAGACGTTCTGTATTATACAGAACAGTACTGTATTTTAGAGCCCTGTTTTGTATAAATTATTCTTTGCTAAAAAGCGTGAAAATGTTCAGTATTTTATTCAGTGTTCTGTATTTGTTCAGTATTTCGTTATTTTTTCAGTTTTACATAAAAACGCATAGAAAAACATGAATATTAAAAAATTCTGACACAAATGTAGGTAATACAGTTTTTCAACTGTAAACATTTACCAAACTGTTAAGAAATGTCGATATCAACTGATATTTAAAATAACGTAGCTAATGAAAATTGCAACAAAATCAAAAATGATAGATGATAGATGATACTTTGATAGATCAAATAACAATAGGAACAAGTGAGAGTGCTATATTCGGCTGAGCCGAATCTTAAATACCCGCCACCAGCTAATTTTATTTTTTAAAGATAATGCAACTTGTTAAATTTGCTTAAAATGGATTTCGGGAAAGGATCTAGTATGAGATCATGACCAATTATAGACCGATCCCAAACAATTCTTACAGTAACATTTCTGTATACATATAAAAGCTATATTTCAGTAAAATGTGGTAAATAATGTGTGGGACCGATCGCACCCATATTATGAACCGATCGTGAAAAAATCGTCAATAGCATTTTTGTATACAAAACTAATAATTGTGGCAAGTTTTGTAAGGATATCATTATTTGGTAATGGGTTCAACAGATTTTTCTACCTTGTATGGGAGCTATGACGAATTATGGGCCGATCGTTTCACACTAACATTAATATATATTAATATGTATATAAGTGTGCTAAGGAAGGGCACCTTGGTTGTAAAGTAATATTTCTGCCAAATCAAGCTCTCGTGTAGAAACGAATGTATGATGGAATTATATTGCATAGTTTTCGTGAAAATTGCATCAGGATGTGCAAAAAATGCTTATTTTTTCGGAGTATTTTTAAATTTTGATTCATAACTTTTCCCGATGTTTACCATTTTTTCTCATTTTCAATACCAAACAATTTAATAAAATTAAGAACATTTTGGGTGAATTTGGTTAAATTCTATTGCTTCGTTTTATCGCGAGCGTGTTTTACACTAACAGACAGACATTGCTAAATCGACTCAGAATTTGATAAGGACCCAGAATGTATATAATTTGTTGGTTCTCAGATGAATATTTCTTGGTGTTACACACGGAATGACAAAGTTATATATACCCTCTATCACCACTGATGGTGATAAAAATAACCTGATACACATACACGAAATCTAGTAGATTTCATTTAAAATCTCTTTACAAATCTAGACCGTTTACACTTACTATTTTTGATATTTAGAAAGATTTCATTTTTGCTAATATTTCTTGAAATTGTGTTTAATGTGAAAATAAAAGAGAAAAATGAGATATTTATTAAAATTTTATTTAAAATAAAAAAATAAATATTTAAATATAACACTACCTATTATTTTAACTAAACTTTTCATTCATGTTTTTCAATTTATTTAAATTTTGTTGACATTTTAATTTTTTGTTTTTCTCGTTTTTCTTGTGTAGCGTCGTAATTTCTAGTATTATTTAGGAAAAAACAGAGTTGCATCACTAAAAACTATTAGATTTTGAGTAGATTTTAATGAAATATAGTTACGAAGTAGATTTTGTTTTGTATGGGAAATCTAGTTAAAATCAACTAGATTTGGCTCGAAATCTCATAAGTACTTGATTTCGTGAATGTGTAAATCAGCGTTGCGCGTTCATATTGTTCAAATTACGAAGATTTTCGGCAATTCACACGTACACTACCCGATCGTAAACAAAACTCATAGCAAGAGCGTAAAAATACAAAAAATGATCTTCAGTTGCTTAACAGCATTCAACAATGTAGGTTGATGTCGCTTTGTTTCAAAAATTGCAAAAACAATTTGTAAAAACAACAACACAATTTGTAAACAAGAGAATTACTTGCAAAAAACTCGTACACTACAAAACAATTTTACTAATGCATAAGAATGAAAACACATAAAAACAGTATTTTTAATACTTTTTTTACACATTTTAAATAAAAAACTTTATCTTTGTGAAGAAATATATATTTTTCTTTTCTTTGAATATGTTTTATCTGTAAAATTTACTATTTTCCTTGTTATGAAATTTGATCATAACAAGCGTAATTAGGCAATATTTTTTCTAAGTGTTTTTTTAGTATTTTCTCACCACTACAATAACAGTTTCTTCGCGTCTCTCTTTCTGCGCTTGGCTGGTGTAAATGTATTAGTGTATTTTATTTTCTCCTGTTCTGTATTTTGCTGAAAAAATATGGTCACCATAAATTCTGAAAGAAAAATAGTAATTTTCTCATGGTGGTTTTATATACGAGGGGTAGGTTTAATAATGGACCGATCCTCATAAAATTTTGTACAGCAATTTTCATTAATACTAAACATATTTATGTCCAAATTTATCGCTATACTCGTATTTTTAAGCCAGTAATAGCGTTAAAGTAATTTTCTCAGGGGAACCTTATATGAGGGCAAGATATACCTATTAATTATAAGGTAGTGTTAACAGAACAGCTGATTGTTTTTTTGCTAATATGTTCATTTTTCGCCGTGGTGTTTTATTAATGTTAAACTTTGTTTACATTTTGTTAATGTCAAACATTGTTTACATTTTGTAAAAGTGAATTTTAAAGATTAAAATCAATATTTTGTATTTTTATATTTTGTGTCTTTAAATTAAAAAAATAAGAATGCGGTACTGCAAACTGAGCAGGAAGAATGTTCCTAAGGAACCCAGTAAGAGGCAAAAGTGGATGGATCTTTGTCAAATGGAATTGGTCCAAAATGCAGAGATATGCATTGACCACTTGCCATCAGATGTAATAACTGCAGGGCGTCGGATGCTTCTGATGCCAAACAAACAAACTTTATCCAACAATGGAATAGAGGAAATGGAAATAGCACTGCCAAGCGGTGATGAAATAGCATCTGATTCAGGCATATCCGGATCGGAATTTCGCTATTTCACCATTGAAGAATTGGCGAAATCTTCAGCTCCGCAGCAGAAAATATGGAAGGAGGAAGCTTCACAGACAGAGTGTTTCAAGATCCGGAAAGAAAATCTTCTACGAATATTAAGTGAAATGTAATATATAGGCATTTCCATTGCGACGAACGTGACAAAAATACATTTTAATAAGATGGAAAATAAGGAAAATTAACTTTTTATTTTTATATAGAGCTTTAATATTAATAGCTCTATATTTGTAATCAAAAGAAACTGAAAAAGAATTTAATGGTCCTAAGATAAACATACATATGTATGTATGTAGTTACAGTGCGTGATTTGACAAGAATATAAGTTGCTTTGTTTACTATTTTTTTTACAAGCGTTATGTTTTCTTATAAAATTAAAATTTGATTTTTTAAACCACGGTGGACTTTTTGGTGGAAATATACAAAAAATCCAATGTTCAATGAAAAATAATTTTTTTTAAGAAATAATTTTTTATTGGAATACCAAGTTTTTAGTAAAAATTATTAATGTTGTAGTGAAGAATTAAATTATTAGTAAAAAATCAAATTTCTAGTGAAAAATCAAAATTTTAGTGAAAAAAAATTGCAGTGAAAATCTAATTTTTCATTTTTATATGCCAGTTTCGAGTAAAAAAACTATTTTTTTATTAAAAAAAATCTAATTTTTAGTGAAAATTTAATTTCTTGTTGAAATTTGTATTTTTGTCAAAATTTATTTTGAGTACAAAATGAAATTCTTAGTGCAAAAAAATATTTTGTTCTACAACAGAATTTCAAGTGAGAGAACTTTGCTTAGTTCAAAGTACATATTCATGAAAAAATTATATTACGAATAAATGAATCTTTGTTGCGAATGAATAATTCTACTCCGGCGGAGTAATTTTCAATATTTGGCCATTTACATACCAATTATGCCATTATTTAAATAAAATGATATTTGTTTACGAGATGCTTATTATTTTCAGATTTTTTACATAAATAGTTCAAAATACTTACGAAGTTTTTCTCCGTTCAACGGAAATTTTTAAATACAAAAATGTAAACAAAGAACGGAAAAATAACAAATTTTTATAGCTACAAAAACCAGCCGAATTTTTCCTATCATTTTACCTCTTTTATTTTAGAAAATAACAAAATTGTGAATTCCGATTTAAATTGAAGTTTACGTGAGGTTCTGTTTAATTTTTTTCTGTTGAGAACTTCATCTCTTAATTGAATGTTGGAAAAATCTCGAGAATGGGGGGCGACGGCTCGTCCGCTGTTGCTCACACATAATCGCAGCCGAACAACAAAGTTGCTTCAGATGTATCCGAGCACAGTTCGTCTCTATCAGATTTGAACAATGCTGTACCTGAATTTATGGAGAATTTGAAATCGAGAATGTCAGCTTCCAGTCAATGGTCGTAGTTCCCGAAGATTCTTGTGAGGTTGACGGTGGGACTAGGAACCACAGGTTGCTGCTTGAGAAATCTCAGGTTATCACCGGTGAACAGCCTGGAAATTCTTTAGCTATCACTGATATTCCTAAGAAAAATGTTTACCCTGAAGATCATGAAGGTGAGTTTCTGGTTTTGGTCGATTCGTCTAATGCTGATCCGGAAATGGGAAAATTCGTGATTGACTGTTTTTGTATAAGAAGATTAGAAAAATAAAGGTCGATGGCATTCGACTAATTACACTAAACAGGTATATGCATCACTACAAAAATACAAACACAACATGTATTTTTTTTTTGTACTTGTATGAGCTCAATGTCAAAATAAATAAAAATATTTGTTGATATTTGTCTTTAAAAAAAAGTTATTAATTTCATTTCAAAAAATATGCAGTGATTTTAAATGGAATTTTAAGGGATATGCATGTTTATATACTTACTTTAAGCAGTGTATATGGATCCTATTGGTAAATGTTACAGAGGACCTGGCAATGGACCCAAAAAGCAAGATTTTTGATATCTGGATTAACCTGATTTATGCCACTAAATTTGTATCTTTAGCTACCAAAGTTTGGCTAACGAAAGTGGACCAGGCAACGGGCGTAATACTAAAAATTTTAATATCTGAATTGGCCTGATTTGCGCTCATGTGATGATGTGATTGTTAAATCAAATCGCAAAATAGGTGTGCTATAGATCACAATCGCAAGAAGTTTACCAATTTCAAATCAGAAACATTTACTAAAGTGAACTAATGAATTTAGCTTAATCTGCGATTTTAAAAGCTAATCAAATGATTGTAAAATTAAATCAGACATGTTTTCTTCTAGTATTGATGAAATCTAATAATGTTTTTGAATAATTTTATTTAAAAATAAAAATTTTAAAAAAAGTCTTGGATTTTGCTAATAATTTTTCGATCGTTTTCATTTGTATTGACGATTTTCCTTTTTATTTTGTGGCACAAAATATGTATGTTATTATTTCTTGGATTTTTCTCATAATTTTTTCAATTGTTTTCGTTTGTATTGACGATTTTCCCTTTCATTTTATGTTTATTTTTTTCGAAAACGACATAGAAATATTACTAAACGCAAACAAAACGCGCGGACTCCATTACATACTTAAATAAATTTGGAAATTTTCAAATCGTATGCGATTTGATAATCGTGCGATTGTCATCACATGGGCGTTGGCCTTGGGAACTTGCGCAATACGGGGGATAGTTGAAATCTGGAATTACCTTATTTGTGCTATTAAAGTTCTGTTCTAAACGGATAAAGTTGGGCTAAAGAATGCGGACCAAACAAAGGGCGCAATGCGGAAGATGGTTGAAATGTATTTTTTGTGCAAACAATATTATTTTTTACAAACTTTACAAACATTTTTAATATTTTTATTATACAAATTTCATTTTGTTGCAATAATTTCAAATAAACAAAAAAATTATCAGCTGTTCGATTGCATATACCTGTTTAGTGTACAGTGTTCACTGGGTAGGACATGTTAGTTAGTTAGTTAGTTAGTTAGTTAGTTAGTTAGTTAGTTAGTTAGTTAGTTAGTTAGTTAGTTAGTTAGTAGTTAGTTAGTTAGTTAGTTAGTTAGTTAGTTAGTTAGTTAGTTAGTTAGTTAGTTAGTTAGTTAGTTAGTTAGTTAGTAGTTAGTTAGTTAGTTAGTTAGTTAGTTAGTTAGTTAGTAGTTAGTTAGTTAGTTAGTTAGTTAGTTAGTTAGTTAGTTAGTTAGTTAGTTAGTTAGTAGTTAGTTAGTTAGTTAGTAGTTAGTTAGTTAGTTAGTTAGTTAGTAGTTAGTTAGTTAGTTAGTTAGTAGTTAGTTAGTAGTTAGTTAGTTAGTAGTAGTTAGTTAGTAGTAGTTAGTTAGTTAGTTAGTTAGTAGTTAGTTAGTTAGTTAGTTAGTTAGTTAGTTAGTAGTTAGTTAGTTAGTTAGTTAGTTAGTTAGTTAGTTAGTTAGTTAGTTAGTTAGTTAGTTAGTTAGTTAGTTAGTTAGTTAGTTAGTTAGTTAGTTAGTTAGTAGTTAGTTAGTAGTTAGTTAGTTAGTTAGTCGTTAGTTAGTTAGTTAGTTAGTTAGTTAGTTAGTTAGTTAGTTAGTTAGTTAGTTAGTTAGTTAGTTAGTTAGTTAGTTAGTTAGTTAGTTAGTTAGTTAGTTAGTTAGTTAGTTAGTTAGTTAGTTAGTTAGTTAGTTAGTTAGTTAGTTAGTTAGTTAGTTAGTTAGTTAGTTAGTAGTTAGTTAGTTAGTTAGTAGTTAGTTAGTTAGTTAGTTAGTTAGTTAGTTAGTTAGTTAGTTAGTTAGTTAGTTAGTTAGTTAGTTAGTTAGTTAGTTAGTTAGTAGTTAGTTAGTTAGTTAGTTAGTTAGTTAGTTAGTTAGTTAGTTAGTTAGTTAGTTAGTTAGTTAGTTAGTAGTTAGTTAGTTAGTTAGTTAGTTAGTTAGTTAGTTAGTAGTTAGTTAGTTAGTTAGTTAGTTAGTTAGTTAGTTAGTTAGTTAGTTAGTTAGTTTTAGTTAGTTAGTTAGTTAGTTAGTAGTTAGTTAGTTAGTTAGTAGTTAGTTAGTTAGTTAGTAGTTAGTTAGTTAGTTAGTTAGTAGTTAGTTAGTAGTAGTTAGTTAGTAGTTTAGTTAGTTAGTTAGTTAGTTAGTTAGTTAGTTAGTTAGTAGTTAGTGTTAGTTAGTAGTTAGTTAGTTAGTTAGTTAGTTAGTTAGTAGTAGTTAGTTAGTTAGTAGTTAGTTAGTTAGTTAGTTAGTTAGTTAGTGTTAGTTAGTTAGTCTGGTAGACCTTCTGTCTACCAGACTAGAACACTAACCTACCGGAAGCCACCTAACCTACCCAGCAAAAAAAGTGTGGAAAAAGATATAGAATTTTCATCACCACTAGTAACCCGAAGTGCTTCAAATTCAGGTGAAAAACCTATGAATTTTACATTAGCGTGTCATTGTAGGGATGTTGTTCATTTTTGACAACTTTAAACTACATCTAATCTTATCTTTAGAAGCTGTAAAAAGCGGATATGTGTATGTCAAAAATAAACCACATTCTTTCAATGAAACGCTTATGTAAATTTCATTGGTTTTTCATCAAAATTTGAAGTACTTCGAATATGTTGTTTGTAGTGACTTTTCTACATCTCTTTCCTGATTTTTAACTGTGTTTTCATTTGTAAGGATATGTTTGGTTAATAAAAGCGAAAAGTATACAATTGCATTTTTAGATGTGATTAAGATGTCGTTTATAAAGTATGACATCAATTATTTTTTGCTGGGTACCGGAGGCCAGGATATTGTATCGTATTAAGTTTGATTATGTTATTCACACTTGAAATTCTAGCAAAGATCAGGAAGAAATTTTTGGACAATTTGCTTTATCCAATTTTAGCCATTACATATTTAATAACGGTATCAAATTATTTTTTTTGATATGAGAGCTTATTCATTTTTTAATATTTTAAAGCCAAAGAGCTACTCTTTCCAACGTACATACAGTGAATCAACTAAGTTTTTTGCCTACCTTTTTTAAGAGAATTTTGTTTTTTGTTCATAAATAAAATTAAAAAAAAAACAGGTAAAAAGTAAATTTATGTTTTCCAATTGAAAATAGAGATTGTGTAGAATGGGAAAACCAAGAAAAAATATTAAAATAAAAATTTTGGTGTATTTGTTGTTGCATTTTATTATTTTTCATCAGAATTTGCACGTCAATAAAGTATTTTACATATTGAAATTTCCAGTTAATTTCGTTGGGGTTTTCAAATTATTTTTGAATTGCTTTTTGGAATTTATTGTTTTATTGTTAAAAGGACACGCGTTAAGTATTTTTCAATTGGAATTTTCAAAAATCATATCCTTATTGTGTGAAACTGTGTAGTTATTTGCGTTAAAAATGTTTAAAGGGAAATAATGAGGCAATTCCAATATAAAAATTAGTTTCGATTTTTAGAACAAGTATAAATCAATGAAATTCAATTATGAGATGTTTAATCAATCATTAAAAAATATAAAATATAGAAATTGATGAAATAACACAAAGAATTATTAAAAAAAACACTGAGTTGTCTTTCAAAATCTTTAACTGCCAAAGGAGAGCGAAAGCAAAAACCATTGAAGTCCTCATTCATCTTCTCCAAAGTCCATATACGAACTTAAAAGAACACTATGTTTAAATTTAGACCTCTAAACAGACCTTAGGTTGCTGGGAAACAATATAAAGTGAACTATCTTGTGGTACGGAAAAATAATTAATTTAGATATTTACAAATAGAGGCGGTTCTCATCACCTAAGATCCACAAAAGCAATATTTTTCAGCTAATACATACACTTATATATAGTTAGAACCCAGATCAAGAATAACTATCCAAATCCAACTACGCCTACTGTATTTTATTCATAAAATAAAGCATTCAAAATATGAGGTAGAAAATCAAGATTCTAGCATGTAATAGTTCTATAGTGGTATACGGTGTTATCCCCGGTGTTATACTTAGAGTGGCCAGGATGGGGTTTCCGTAATGTAGGTTTTGTTTATCAATACAAAATGACCAAAAACTCAGAATATTTTTGTTATAATCTATAGATTTATACCCCACTAAAATTTTTTTCTAGGTCCAAATCCATTGATTTCCTAATATATCTTGTATCCAATTCAAAATTACTTATTATTTTCGAAATTAAATCAAAGAAACGATAGATTTCATATTAAATCAAATATTGAAAAATTCTTTTAGGTATATAGGATAATAAATCGGTTAAGAAATGTCCAAACTTAGTCGTTCCACTACTAAAATATCTAAAAAATTTTATTCTAATATATAGGAGTAATAAAAATATTAAATTTTATAAAATAATGCAGCAATATTAAAAAAATGAACAAAAAACCTAAAAAAGCAAAATACTTTATTGACCTTAAAAATTAACAATACGTTCACATTTTATCAAAAATCTCGTTAATTAATATCACGATTTTACTTTTTATGGTAGAAAATTAAAATATAAGATATTCTTTAAAAAATACAACAAACAAATTGCTTTATTTTGCTAAAAATAATTGATCAGAAAAAGTTTTTTCTTAAAATTTATAAAATTTTACATAGGCAAATTACTTAATTGATTCACTGTATA